TGATGGCTCCTGATTGACTGCCCAAAGGCTGTCGCAATCTGGGAACAGAAGCGGCGGCAGCTTCATAAGTAGTCCGGGGCTTTTTGCCCGAACGGGGTACGGACGTTGACGACACTCCGTACCCGCGCTCATCATGAGCGCTAGAAGTCGCACGCTTCAGAATGCCCCGTGGCAACATGCGCTTGCTGACCATGTGGGCAAACCGAGCACGAAGATCACGCATCCAGGATGCGGGACAGCAGCTGATCTTCATGGAGTTCCCGTAACACCGAGGGTGAGTACTTGAGATACACCACCCAAGCCCAGAACATGTCCTCACAAGAACTCCAGTTGGGACAGAATCTCGGGAAGAACTCAGGGTATCCCCAAAGAGGGTAGAGACCACCCCGGTTCTCGGACTTCTTACGACACATCGTGAAGACCTTCAGTGGGATCCGGTGTGGCGCGAGAAGCACACACCGAGCCGCCTTCAAGTTGTCAACAAAAAACTTCTCCTTCTGAACAAGGGCGCGGTCGTAAACGCTCATAGAAGTCTGGCCGCCAACAAGGCCACGAGGAGCGACGAGAAGCTCCAGGAAGAGGTCAGCCTCAGAGCTCTCCTCGTAAGGCCAATACCCTCTTGAGTTGATGACAGCTCCCTGGCTGACGGACGCCACCACCGAACCCCCACGCGCACGCTGGGCAGCTTGGAAGTCCTCCTGCTTCTGGGCGAAGTCGTTAGAGATCTCCCGGGGCTCAGGAATAGCGCTCTCTTCCTCTTCCTCCTCCTTCTCGTCCTCTTCATCCGAGGGGTCGAAGAGGCCCCGATGGGAGTACCCAGTCTCCTTATCCTCGCGGACTGAAGCCTTCGAAGCCATACGCTTCTTAGAGGGCTTGGCGCCTTCGGCTTTAGAGGCCTTAGCACGCGCAAGACCCTCGGCAAGTGAGAGACGTTTGCGAGGTTTCTCTTCCTCATCGCCACCAGCTTTGGGAGTGCCCTTACCCTTGACAATCGGGCTCTCAGAGTGCACGACGTCCTGGGACTGTGATCCCCGTGATCACTAGCGAGCGACTGCACGCTGTCGTCTTGTGCTCGCTGGGCACTAGTCTGTGCCCTCCCGCAGAGCCCACAGGAGCATCTGCGTGCTCTCGGACTCAGCTTCGTCCTCACTGCCAGAGTCGAGCTCACGTTCAGCGAACCGAGGGCTAGGACGATTGTCAGGGGAGGTCAAGGGCGACGGGCTGCGGCACTTGCTCGTCGCTTGCCCACAGCCGCGTCACCCGTTGAGCCCATCGCCTCGTAGGCCACCTTAGTAGCCTCCTGAAGTGCCGAGCATTAGCCGTGAGGCTTAGTGCTCTTGGCTTGCGCCTTTCCGGCAGCAGCCTTGAAGCGTGTCTTCGCACCGCTCTTCGAAGTGCCATGGGGCATGGTAACGGTCGATTTGGAGACCAAGAAGAGGAGTGCACAGACTGTTGCTCGAGGCCCAAACTGTGATGTGAGCCTCCGCCGCGCTCGCGCGGCCCAAGTCGATGGTTTTCGACTTTGAGAATGAGAGTATGTGACGAACATTTCTTCATTCTGATTGGTCGGTAAACCGAACCCTAAGTGGGGCAGGATGTTAACGGGGTACGTAGCCCTAAGTGTACCCTGGTTACATGAAGTGTGACACTTCACACTTCAGGAGTATGACACGTCATACTCCGGGATATTTGGTACAAGGTACCAAGGTCGTCCAAAGCCAACCGTTGGCTAATGACATTGCTTTTCTATAGGTAACTTATCGTTTGTATCTAACTCAAGCTTTATATACCTATAAATATAATCAGTTTACGATGTACCTTAAATTGGTCACCTCGCTCTCTTTCGGTAAAAGGGGACCAGTGAGCTGCCGTTCACTGAGAGTTTGTATACTCTCGGAAGCCAACTTCCTCTAGCGCAAGGTGCTGTGTGGCCCCGTCACACGAACGCTCTGATATTCTCCGCAGACCATATCGGAACTAGTACTAAGTGCTGCGGGAGTGTTTGTGGCTTTACGAGCACTCTATGTAGCGATAGCAGCTCAAATCCGACTCCTTCGGATTTTATCCCATGTGGTAAACGGCCTTCTAACTAGTGCAGAAAGTTTTCAGCACGCTTGTCGTCCACGCTTGAGCCTAGCTTACCCGGGGCCCCGACAAAGTGCTTTGACAGATTATACACAACGGATATCAATCGCCTATGTCGCCCGCGCCCTTTGTTGACAGGAAAGTAGTTTTTCTCGGTGGCCACTACCCTCATCGCTTTAGCAGTCATCTCAGGCGGGATGGGTCCTCGCAGAAGTGTATGGCTTTATCCAGCCGCAGAGTTCTTTCATCAGACATCAGAATCCACGGAGAGATACTGTTTCGCACTCCACTGGCTGACGCCCGTGCACTGGGAACACAGGTATTTTTAATGACGCTGTGGTGTGATTCTATGCCCTGTTGGCTAGGTATGATGCCGGGGCCCGGCTCCGCTGATGTACCAGCGGCTCCATCTAGGTGCCACGTAAACCTCTTAAGCCACTCGGCAAAAGCGCTCTCGTTGTTGGCAATCCAACAATCTGTAAAAATCGAAGCCATCTTAGCGAATTGAATGGGAAATTGTACTTAAATGACTCACTGAATAGAACCAAAACAGCAAATTTGGTTGGAATTCACAATATCTGAAAAAAACTGGCTTATCTGGGAAACAGACGGTACTGTGGGCTCTACTCGATTTTTCCAGTCAGGGTTTATCGAACCGACGTGGCGAACCGCTCCAACGAACCGCCGAGCTACGCCAAATAATAAAACCTATGTTACTGAATGTTGCAGCTCCAGATCCTTCATAAGCAAACTTGCCGCATCTAAGGACTCCCGAGCGCGGTCGTGCACGCGTCACACCGTACCAAGTTCGATCTACTCACGTCGATAATCCTCCGTCTACTTACTCGCAATGATCTTCATTCGTTGAGTCACGACGCATTACTCCAGGGCCACCATGCTCTCCAGCAGGTTCAGGACGCGCTCTAGTCGAACAAGGAAGCTCTCCAGCCAGCCTGCGACGCTCTCCAGCCGTTCCACGACGCTTGAGTCTGTCCACAGCGTTCTCCAGTCTGCCCGCCACGCTCCCAAGTTGCACTACCGCGCTCTCCAGCCGAGTCTATATGTTCTCCACCTCAACCGCCGTTGGCCTCGCTGGAACTGAAATGTTCTTCAGCTGCGTCTTCAGCTGATCCACAGCGCTCTTACTCTGTCAATTCACAACTATTGCTTGAGTCACGATGTTATTTAAACGCTAATATACATCCAACTTCACTCGCTGAGGGGGCATCCGCTGAGCCCATCATATATCACTAGATCATACTTCAGTCTCGGTGCCCGCCGAGCAACCACGCTCCGCGACATCTCCATCTGCCCAGAAGCAGCGGTATCAACCCGTCGTACGCCCAATTATGAGGTCAACGATTGGGCAGCGTGATACGTCGGGCAACACGCTGGACGACGTAATTGTAAATGGGCATTCATTCAATGACATTATTCAGAAGCTATGGGACCTATTCAGGCTTCGCGTGAAGTTCCGTGCAGTGTAGAAAGTTAATGTTTGGTCTACTGAGACAGCGGACGTTGGATAATATGAAAAGGTTATGCAGCTCAAAGTGAAGCGACACCTTGTTGACACAACAACGTCCAAGCAATGATGGAAGCAATGGTTAGTGAAGATGCGCGGTGAGACTGCAGAGGCAGTGGTAGATGCTGTTTGGGTGCGCATCTGCCGCGTTACAGCTTGCTCCATGGTCACTTCCAGAGTGAATGTCACTTCAACATGATGCGGATCATCTATAGTCGCTCTGATTCGATATAAATTTAAAGTTTATGACCACTTATATTACTGGGCACGTTGGCTGATGGGCTGGCCGGAAAGACAGAACCGCTCTCGTTTGGCAACTTTGGCTGGAATCTACAATATACTCAAGCCTAAAAAGAACCGCACCAGAACCACGGTTCTAATAATTACTTAGAGCCCCTAAGAATCAGGAACTGAATTCTGAGAATTTTGGGGTTTGGATTTTCAAATGCGAAAGGCGACTTTTCAGCAAGAACCATTGACAGGTTCTTTTTTGCGAGCAACTATTGGACAGTTGCTACTGTGCTAAACTGTGAGCCCAAGGGCTAAATTTTCACTTTTTGGGCTCAGTAAAAGCTGCGTCAGCCTAATATATCGGTAATACTGGCTCAAATCAAATCCGTCTGAAACGAAGAGCTGAATTTAAGGCGGTAATTGGTTCCTAACCGGTACAGCAAGAAGTCTAGGTATAACAAAGGGCTCACCCTTTTTAACCCTTCGGATGCGTCCCGAACGGGGTTCGCACTTTTGCGGAGTACTCGTAGCTAATCGATAACACCAGTTGTCGATCTTGGATCAACGCGTGGTAATTCATACGAAAGACGTCAAAGTCCAGCATCCCATTGGGGCTACCAGTGTTCACATCGGACGGAACTCGTGTCCCGCCTGGCGTTACGACCGAGTCGGTTGACGCGCTCTTCGGTCCTCCGAAGTAAAGGACAGCGATCCGCTGCGGATCAAATGCGTCCAGAAGTGTCCGTAGATAGCTCAAGTTGCACGACCGGAGCTCAGACGTTTCACTCTCCCTCTCCACGTACTTGGACTTGGCATTACGCCACAGTTTAAAGATCCACCAGAGCTTCTCAGCCTGCACTTCGTCGAAATCACACAAACCAATAGATCTGTTGGAGCTGCTGCCTTCTTCACGTCCGGACCCATCGCTTCTGCCCAGAACAAAGCCTTCTCCAGGGAGCAACGACCGCAGATCTCCCAGATCAATGAACTTGACCGACGACGTGAGCTTCAAGGAGCCATCGCTGCTATCTCCGGACTCTGCTTGCACTGGCATACTTCCTCCTTCATGAACAAGTCCGTCTAGTGTCAGCTCTGCATCTGGAGACGGGTAATTGGGTACTGCTGGCTGCGGAGCTGAGCGTGATATCTTGCGTCTTTACTGGCGTGGCTTCCGTTCTCTGCTCTTCTTCGACGTATGCCCAGTATGAGCAGTAGCCCCAGGCTTTACAGTCATCGTGGACGGAGGAGGGACATTAGGCCTCTCATTGGTCACCTAGAGCTTCAAATTACTTGTTGTGTCAGTTCCAGTGTCTGCTACACCACAAGGCCTACGCCCTTACTTTTGCAGCTCCAGAAACGCGCGGGGAATTTCCTGCCGTAGATAGAAGACCAAGTGAGCAGTTGATGTTAAAATTGAAAGTGAATTGAATCGTTAGCTTCGTCGCCGGCATTACATCTCGCTACTCATGCGTACTTACCTGACAAGCACCATTGCGACATTACCGTACATATAGGAACGATGCGTCTTCCTTTCCATCTGACGTCATCGTTCTGTAATCTGCAAATGTATTGAGTTCTCCTTCGTTTCTGTAAATCTCCAGTTCTTCACGCTTGCTTCATCCACTTCGCACTGCTGTCGATCTCTGGTAACGCCAGAGAACTCTTAATCCCATCACCACAGTCATCACGATCGACATCTTAATGACCACCTTATTTTGTCGAACTCCTCGCTTCCGATGGCGAGAGCGTTACGACCTGAGTCTGGCAGCGGCTTAGACAACTTCAACGTCTCGTTCTGGTGAAACGTCTGGGTTGACTTTGAAGATTCCAACAGCCTCCCTCGAAGTCTTGCCCAGTTGACCCACCCGCAGTTGCTCCCGAAGTCGCTGAAATGCCACGCGCTGTAGTGGCTTCGTCAAAATATCAGCAAGTTGCTTCTGAGTTGGGCAATACTGCACCATTACATCCCCTCGCTGAATCACATCCCGAATAAAGTGATACCGGATATTTATGTGCTTGCTCCGAGCGCTGGTTATCTCATTCTTCATCGATTTAATCGCTGACTGGTTATCCACCTGTAGCACGATTGTCTTGTCCTTGGTCCATAATCCAATTTCGACGAGAAGTTGTTTCACCCATATAGCCTCCTTCATGGCTACTGCTGCTGCGACGTACTCGGCCTCCATCGTGGAGAGAGCTACAGACGTCTGCTTCTTAGAAGCCCATGCGATAACGGCACCATTAAGCATAAGAACTGCTCCTGATACTGACTTCGCATCCGATGAGTCTCCTGCCCAGTCGGCGTCCGTGTAAACTGTCGCGCGCCATTGGCAGCCTGCGCCTTGCCCACTCTTAAAGAATAGTCCAAATGATGAAGTGCCACGAAGGTAGCGCAAAATTCTCTTGACTCCCGTCCAGTGACTTTGTCGAGGCCGAGATACAAATCTTGCCAAGTAATTGACTGCAGCGGTTATATCCGGTCGTGTACAGTTCGAGATCCACAACAGTGATCCAATTGCCTTCCTCATCAACCCCGTATTCGTCATCATCTCATTGTCGTCAAATGATCTCGTCGTATCCATGGGTGTGTGTACCGGTCTGCATGATGCCATTTCCATATTTGCCAGCAATTCCTCAATGGTGTCGCTTTGGTGTAGGAAAATGCCTTCATCATTGCGCTTGATACAAATCCCGAGGCATTTTTCTGCATCTCCCATGTCCTTGATGTCGAATTTCTGGCCCAGTAATAGCATGACTTCATCGCTGTCAGCATCGTCTTCACTAACGATAATCACGTCGTCAACGTAAAGTCCGAGAACAGTGAGCTTCCCATTTCGGCGACGAGAGTATAAGCATGGATCCAGCTTACTTCTGCGGAATTGCAGCGATAGAAGAAATGCATTTATCTCCTTGTTCCACAATAATCCGCTTTGCTTGAGGCCGTACAGGCCTTTCAGTAGCAGCCACGCTGTGTCTCTTGTGCACGGCGTACCTTTCGGGGGTCTCATGAGGATTGGCCGATCCAACTTAGCCTTGACGTAAGCATTTGGAACGTCTCCTTGACGAAGTCTTCGTTTCCACTGGGCTGCAAGTGCCGCGAGAAATCGCAAGCTTGTGATTTTAAGCACCGGTGAATAAGTCTCTTCGAAATCGATACCAAAACGCTGGGTAAATCCTCTAGCTACCAATCGTGCCTTGAACCGTTCCAGCTCTCCACGTGAGTTAAACTTGATACGAAACACCCATTTTGACGACACGACGTTTGCTCCGGCAGGACACTTGATGACTTCCCATGTACCATTTGATTGAAGTTCCTTTAGCTCCTTCTCGATAGCCTCTTTCCACTGAGGCCATTCTGGAGTCTGCATTGCTTCGTCGAGATTACGTGGGGTTACCATAGGTGGCGTAGCTGTTGTCAACAAAAGTGTTGCTGATCCTGCGAATTCTTCGATGAGTAATTGAGGTAGCGAGAAGTCGCTTTGGCGTTTCGTCTTTTTACGTGAGCCGAAAACACGGCGAATTGCACCGGCACTAATAGGGTGCCCGTGGTACTCGTCTTCGCCGCTGTCTGAGGTTTCATTGAGGTTGATAGTGCGTTTCTTACGCTTCCACTTTGACGTACTATTTGGAGTGGAGATCTCAACCAACCCTGTGGCACTGCTTGTTTGTTCTGTTACGGATTCTTCTGCAGGCTCTTCTTCAGGCGGTGTTTGTTCTTCCTTACCGCCGAGTTGGCTCAGTGCTTCTTGGGTCTCTTTTTCGCGGATGTCCAGCTTCTCGATGTTCTGGACGTCGGAGCTAGCGATAATCTTCCGAGTACGAGGCAGAAGAAGACGATAACCCTTCTGGTTCTCTGAGATCCCGATGACTACTGCTTTCTCCGCTCGGCGCTTGACTGAGGCGGCCTTCTTGTGCGAGACGTGCGTTGTGCATGTAGAACCAAACTTCAATATGTGGCCTACTTTTGGCGGCTTACCAGTGAGTACGTCCAAAGGTGCTTTGTAATCTGCGTTTGCTCTTGTTGGAAGTCGGTTGCGTATGTATGAGGCATACTTGACGGCATCTCCCCAGTATCGTTCTGGAAGACCGGATGCCCAGACCATGGCACGGCCTGAGTTCATCAATGTCCTGTGCATGCGCTCGACCTTTCCATTTGACGCAGATTTATTCGGAAGAGTTTCTTGATGAACGATTCCGTGTCGACTGCAGTATTTAGTGACCTCGTGACTTCGAAACTCTCCACCACCGTCCGACCTGATCGTCTTTACTGTGACTCCAAACTGGCGCTCAAATTCGGGTATGAAGTTCATGAGGTGTTTTGCCGCTTCATTCTTTGTCTGCAGCAAGAAGACTCTGTTGTAGCTCGATGCGTAGTCCACAATTGTAAGCATGTGCTTGTTCCCGTTCCTGTCCGGTTGAATATCTGTCTTTAGGTCTACGCCGATAACTGCTCCAAGTTGGTCGGTGGGTGCGGATGTAGATGTATCTACTGTAGGTTGCTTCGACTTGGTTTGCTTTGCTTGTGCACAGGACAGGCAGAACTTAAGCTTCTTTGAGACGACATCCATGTCCTCCGTCAAACCGTGGTTGTACATCCTTAGGAGGTCCTGGAAATTGACGTGCCCTAGACGTTCATGCCAGTGCTGTAAGGTTGCCTTCGTCATCTGCGCAAACATCACTGCTGCGTTATCATCCGTGCGTGCTGTCTCGCCGTTCAGGATCCACATTTTACCTTGGCGTTTAGCAATTGCGACTATGTCACCACGTTGATTCGTCAGCGTACACGCTGATGCTCCAAACGAAGTAGTGATCCCGTGTTCCCCGAGGTCAGTGACTGAGATCAAGTTGCGGTTAAGACCTGGAACTTGGTATACTTCGTGTAAAAGAACGGATCGCGTAGCATAACCATTGCTTGCGCGGATAATACAGCTTCCTTTAACGTTAGCGTGGAGCAGGCCACCATTTGCCACTCTGATGGTCAAGTCAGATGGTGAAGTGCCGAACAGTGGAGTGCTCGTGGAGCACATGTGGTGTGACGCTCCTGAGTCCACCAGCCAGTTTGTTGATGTCGTTTCTCCATGCTCATTTGCCATCCATAGCTCCGCGCTCTCATCGTCACTTTCGTCGGCATCGCGCTCTAGGCGCTGGGCTTGGTGAACCGAGGCCTGCTGCTGTTTCTTTGGCTTCTTACACTGCAAACTCTTGTGGCCTGGTTCTCCGCAGTTCCAGCAGGTGATTGTCTTCTCGCTTGCGTTAGCTTGAGCGTTGTGATTTTGCTTCAAACCTTGACGTTGCTGACCAGTGGTTTGAGATTGCCTCTGCTGTTTAGGGCTGTTACCTTGACCAACACGTTTCTTAATGGGGTTGCCGTTACTGTGGTGCTGTCCTTGTTGCTGAGGTTGGCGAGGTACGCTCCCTTGGCCTCCGGGTCGCGCATTACCTACGCGCCGTCCGTCACCTTTGAGACGGATCAGTAAATCGACGACCTTGTCTAGCTCGTCCATGTAATTTGTGTTGGTTTCGTCGATCTTGCTGAGGAGTGTTGACTTCTCCTCCGGGCATGCATTATTGCAGACCGTTTCAAGCAGTAGTTGCGATCGATCTCCCACCATTAAGCGCTCGATAAACTTGAGGTAAGTGATGTACTGCTTCCACGTATCGTTTTGTCGCTTAGGTGCGTCCATGCGTCTAGCCAGCTCATACTGGCTTAAGTGGCAGCCGAACTCTTTCTTCAGGTGCACCGTTAGGTCCTCGTAGCTCACCTCGCGGTCGGCCACGAAGTCATGGTAAGACCGGCTTGCTTGGCCCTCCAAGAATGTGCCCAGGACTGGCGCCTTAAGCTGGCTTAACCACGTGGACTTATTTAGGAGTTTTTCCATTTTGATTGCACCTTCGAATTCGTTCAGAAAATCTTCGAGTCCAGCTCCTAGGCCAGGGTACTCTTCCTTGCCATTGAACCGTCGGCAGTGAATATCCTTAAGCTTCGGAGACTTCTCAGCGGTCTTTGGTGAATGAGTCGGCTTCTGCTCGACAGGTGGGTTGATCGCTTCCACC